ACATGTATGTTTGGACAGTGTGAATGACAGCAGACGCACACCACAACACTGTGTTCTGATGTAGATAAGACGTCTGCTGGTGTGGGCGAGTGTTGGGACACTCCATTGATCTTCTATCTGTAGGGTCACATGTATGTAGATGCCATCTCTCTCAACCTACATGTCTCTAACAGGTCCTGTAGACGGTGATAAGGGCATGTTAAGAGAACCAAGATCAAAAAGAAGAATCACGAAACACAGGAAATGAAGCAAAAGTATTGAATTGAATTTGAGATTGAGTAGAAAGGTTTCAAGGGCTCTGGATAGATAAGAAATATAGCTGCAGAAAAGGATTTGGATGCATTGGGGTTGAGAACCAAAAATCGACATGTTACATTACTGTTTATATATAAGTAGACTGCATATTAGTCTTATTCCTGTAATGTACTAATTTTAAGGAGATGTATTGGAAATTATATATTTATTTTTTCATAAAGTTACATATTTCTTAAGTTATTAACATTTAAAAAATAGTTTTTATAATGATTATTTTTAGTAATTATTTTTTTTATAAAAAAACACAACAACATTAACGACATCAACAAAAGCAACAACAGCAATAATAATAATGTAAAAACTTTACAAAGATGATTATGTAAAAGGACATCTAGCGCCCCCAGGTGGTTTCTATAAAAAGAAAGCTGCAGATTGAAAAATTAATAGTGAAATGCTGCCATCTATTGGTAGATGGGTAATTTAGGTTGTCAGTTTCAGTACTTCATTTCTACATACGTCGGTGCATTAATTTAATATTGACAAACTCCATCAAATATTCATATTGTTTTGTAGTGCATTTCAAAAAGAAGCCATAAATATTATGTTGGCCAATTGCCAACATCAAACATTCATGTAGAAAACTTTTTATACAGTTATATTTACATTACATGCATAATTAAATTACAATATTAATATTCCATTCAATATTCCGTTTAAAGATTTTGATGTATTTTATGTCAATTATATAAATAGGTATTTTATACTTTTTAATATTTTTGCGCATGAAATTATTTATGTGTGTGTAGAAAATGTTAAAATGTGTGTGTTTGTCCTGATTGGAACAGAGAGAGTGGAAGAAAAAAGTAGGATTAATTATAGAACAAAATCTTCTCAGTAGTTTTGACATTTAAATGGGTTCATTTAGCTTTTTCCCATTTGCACTGAGAACTTCTCTCTGGCTTTGAAGGATCTTATCTGACAGAGTACAGATGATGCTGGAAACCACTGATATTTCTTCTAAAGATGAGGGCAGATGACCTCTTGTTTTCCTCCACTGAAAATATTCTAGCACACTGTTGGTGAATTAATGCATCTGAAATAAGTATGCATGAGTCTGAAAATATTCTTTTATACGTTCGACCCAACAGATGCATCACAATACTTTGCCACATGTGCCAACAGAAGCTACACATATGTATACCATAAAAGGTGCATTTAATGCTAATTACAATAGCAGAAAAATATTACATTTAATTTCAAATGTAATTTAATTTGATTTGATTAAATATGAATTTATGAATTTTCTCTCTGTCAGCCTGCAGAACCTCTCAACATGAATCATTATGCCACTAAGAAGAGTGTGGCAGAGAGCCTGCTGGATGTGGCGCTGCTGATGGCAAACGCCTCTCAGCTGAAAGCCGTCCTGGAGCAGGGCCCCGAGTTCAAGTACTACCTCACTGTCATCGTCCTCATCGCCGCGTCTCTCTTCTTCCAAGTGCTCGCAGGGGCTCTCTTTGTCCACATGGGTGAGAGTGAAATCCATCGTGCATCATGCACAATACCTGTAAGGATGTTTTATATTTAGTTCTTTCTTTTCATACAATCTTCCCTTCTCAGCACGCAAAAACCTCAATGACGAGGCCAATCAGAGGAAGCTGGACATAATAAACAATGTGGCCACTGTGCTGGTGTTCCTCACCGTCATCATCAACATCTTCATCACCGCTTTTGGAGTGCAGAAGACAGGTCTCTATCCTAAGCAGTAAACTGTCTGTAAGATACAGGTGGTACAGAAAATAAAAATCAATGTTGAATATGCATGCCACAGCATAATGAGCAAACTGACTGTTTCTTTCATGTTGTTTGGTTTTAGGGTCTCAGTAATGGTCATTCTTCAGGCCGGTCCAATCATGAAAGACTTCCTTCTGGCTTTGATATTTGTTATACTATAAAGACACATAGTTATTTTATGGTCTTTTTTTATTTTTCATTTATTTCTACAGAGGGCATTATATTAAAGGGTCTACAACATACATTTATCATAGACTGTCTAATGATTTATATTACCTAGAGGCAAAACTATAATCAAATAACACAAATTCATCATCTGATATGTGTTGTACACTTCATACTGTCCCAACTATTCATAAACGTTTATTATAAAATACTTAACTGTTTACTATCCAGTTTAATGTATTTAAATGATCTCTGGCACATTTTCTGTAAAAAATGGCTTTGTCCCCATAAAACGTGTGTGTGTGTGTGTGTGTGTGTGTGTGTGTGAGAGAGAGAGTGTGTGTGTGCTATACAGTACACAACGATCACGTGGGTTGCTTGACCTAAAGGAAGATCTCTACTGACCTTTACTATATATATGTGTCATAGAAACAGACAAATGGAAATAAGTAATGAAAAAAAAAAACATAAATCCCTTTCAAGTTTTAAATGTAAATTAAATTTGACTTGTGGACTTACCTACAGTAACTAAAGCATTAATAATAATAATAAGAGATCAACACCAGAAAATATATTTCAGGTATTAATGGGATGCAAATGGAATTGGTTTGAAAATGCTTTCAGTAAGAATGATGATTTAACTTCCTTACAAAGCTGATCTGATAATCACATAGTTAAAGCAATGAGACTAGAGCCTCATTTTATTAAATGTTCTTGGTTAAGGGAACTGAACACCCTGAACCTGATCAATGCGGTTTGGGTCTGTGAGTCCTGTTCCTGCAGTCATGCTTCAGTTACACAAGCAAGAGATATCATTCAAACCCCAAATTACACCCAGAAGACCAATGCTGGAGGAGGTCTCCATCGTGTTGGTATACAGCTCCAGTCTCCAGTGCTGAACATATAGAGAATATCTGAAGATGTGATGATGGGTAAATCTGAACAGAATGGATGTTGTTAAGTCTGTTGACATTTACATTGAATCATTACCAGATTCTTTAAATCCACAACAACTGTCAAAATGAAAAACATCACCAGCAAGTCACTAATATAATTATTGTAACTGTTAAGGATTGAAAGGATTAAAAGAGTGAAAGAGTTTAAGAGTAAAATAAATCTTTAGCACTATCAAATGATTTGTAATATTATTATATTATGGTATCATAGAATAGTAATGGTATCATAGAAATAAAAATTGAAAATAATAAATATAGTTGTCATGTCAAGAAATAAAAAAATATTTTTTTCTTTGTTACTGAAGTGTAAATAGTGTGTGTGTGTGTGAGTGTGTGTGTGTATATATTTGCAGTTCAGCTGATAAAAATGATCACTACACTACACTAGAGGTCACTAATCAATCAAATATAAAAAAATAAATATAAAAAATAAATTTAAATATATATGTAAACTCACTTGCATAAAAGATCAAATATTTATAAAAAAAAAATATATATATATATATTATTGTAACTGTTAAGGATTGAAAGGATTAAAAGAGTGAAAGAGTTTAAGAGTAAAATAAATCTTTAGCACTATCAAATGATTTGTAATATTATTATATTATGGTATCATAGAATAGTAATGGTATCATAGAAATAAAAATTGAAAATAATAAATATAGTTGTCATGTCAAGAAATACAAAATTATTTTTTTCTTTGTTACTGAAGTGTAAATAGTGTGTGTGTGTGTGTGTGTGTGTATATTTGCAGTTCAGCTGATAAAAATGATCACTACACTACACTAGAGGTCACTAATCAATCAAATATAAAAAAATAAATATAAAAAATAAATTTAAATATATATGTAAACTCACTTGCATAAAAGATCAAATATTTATAAAAAAAAAATATATATATATATATACTGTATATGTGCAATTTGGCTGAAAAAAATAATTATAAATAATTCATATTCTGGACTACAGGTCACTAATCAAACAAATATAAATAAAATGTAAAAAAATTATATAATTATTTATGTGAACTCACTTGTATAAAAGATCAACTATTTCTTGAAAAAAAATGCAAGCATAAATATAAATGTATAAAATATAAATATGATACATATATATACAAATATATAGTATACATATTTTATATACAAAATATGTATATATATATATATATATATAATACAGTGGGGCAAATAAGTATTTGATACACTGCTGATTTTTCAAGTTTTCCCACTTACAAAGAATGGAGAGATCTGTAATTTTCATCGTAGGTACACCTCAACTGTGAGAGACAGAGTTAAAAAAAAAATCCAGAAAATCACATTGTATGATTTTTAAATAATTAATTTCCATTTTATTGCATGAAATAAGTATTTGATCACCTACCAACCAGCAAGAATTCTAGCTCTCACAGACCTGTTAGTTTGTCTTTAAGAAGCCCTCCTATCCTCCACTCATTACCTGTATTAATTGCACCTGTTTGAACTTGTTACCTGTTATATATATTGGTGTGTGTGTGTATATATATTTGCAGTTCAGCTGATAAAAATGATCACTACACTACACTACAGGTCACTAATCAATCAAATATAAAAAAAATAAATATAAATATATATGTAAACTCACTTGCATAAAAGATCACATATTTATATATATATATATAAAAAATAAATAAATATATATAAATGTGTGTGTGTGTGTGTGTATATATATATAAATATGTGTATATAAAGGAAAGAAAGGAAGGAAGAAAGAAAGAAAGGACAAGCTGCTCCACTTGAAGCTCAGTGTATATATGCTCTGTATGTGGTGCCTCCTCAAACAAGAGGTGCAGAAGCGCTCGTGCACGTCACGGCGGTCATGGAGGCCAGTGTGGGGCGCGCGCATCCCGGTTCGTTACGTCACTTGAAGCGCCCTGACTCGTAGCTCTGGCAAAGAGAGGAAGAAGACGACAGAAGTACTCTAAAACAGGGCTTTCCCCGCCGTTATCAGCTCTCAAAGTGATAACAGCCCGTCTACAACAATAGATACAGGCACAGCCATCTCACCAAACCGGACTAACCTCTTGTGGAAGAAGGTAAGGAGCTTTTGAAAGTGATTTTCCTCAGCTGAAGAGTCTGAACTGCTCGGACACAGCCCATTGATAGTGTATGTGGAGATATATCTGTTTACTGCACACTAACGGTCTACATACGTCCGTATGCGCCCAGACAAACTAGAGGGAAGGTAAATAAAACTGATATTTCACACTACGCGCACTAGAGACCGTTCAAATGAAACGCTGTTGCGCCAGCAAGCAATGGAGGAACAGGAGGAGGGGAAAAAGAAGAAAAACACACACATATTCCGTGTTAGAGAGGTGTCTCGTTCCAGTGGCGAGTTTATGATTCGACATAGACGGCTATAGTGAGACAATCTGGACACTATTGTGTGGTAAAAACCGCTGCGAATCCGTCCAAAGCTTCAGCCCAGGCGGTGTCAAGCTTCTTCAAGAGGAAGCCCTGTGACTACATGTGCATTTCAGACTTTCATTCCTGATTTCTTAGCTTATTTCCCCACGTAGAACAGATTTAAAGCGTCCGCGAGGCGGTTACTAAGTATCTCCTCACTCTCTGTGACGTCAGCATTACAAAATATCCCTTCTTTAGAACAAACACAAAGTATCTCATTCAATAATGAGTTGTTTATTATTGAGCAAAACAACCCCTCAAACACGACAGTTTTGTTTAAAAGCAGATGATGTTGTTATAGGACCCTGCCTGCAGGTAGTTCCATCAAGTGTTGTTCCCGACTGACTCTCGTTTAGAATCATTTGATTGGCTCCTCTGTGAAGGCTCCAAGAGCCCCTCCCTTATTTTTAACCACAGTGTTTAATATAGCATAATATATATTATTATACTTATTTTTACTGTAATATTCAATATTGATGTTAAATGTAACTCTTATTCCTTCATAATGTGACGTTTTTTTACAATTCAGTTTTTATTAGCTCATTAATTGCATGGAATATTTATTTATATATAATCAATTAAAAATAATTTGTAATTAAACGTTTTTGTCTGAAATGTGGACCTTCTTTGTTGATGCTGGTTGTAAATTACAGTGCAAAATAAAACCTGACATCCTCTTTTATTCATATGGATGTTAGGGGTGTTCACGTGTTATGAATATTAGAGATATCAGTCATATGTCTAGTGATCCAACAGGTGTCTCGCACATCAGTGCTTTGGTTCAGTACTGTTTTGTGTTGTTGATCCTTGTTTATGGAAGCCTGTGGTTGTTTTGTTCCCCCTTGTCTAATCACATGACATATCACACGTTTTGCTGTGAATTTTGTCGATAGAATAGACCAACAGTGATTTGATAACCATGCTGAGGAAGTACTTTTTTGCTTTCTCGGTTGTGTGGATCTCAGCAGGTTTCTCCAGTTGCAACATTAGGTCTATATGTTCAGGCTGCTGGATCAATCCTGTGTACCTGTGCTTGTCAGGGTTTGACTGGGCTGCTTGTGTCAGGAAGCTGGAATTGAGGTCTTTCTGACATAGAAGGATTACTGTAATGTCAAGCCGACCTGGTGTGAACTCATACACAAACAAACATGTTTGACTAGCATTTTTTTTTTAAATGAACAAATACCGAAATCTATATCTGTAGAGCAGGGTGACTGATGACGGATCACATATTTATTTATTTTAATTGTATTTTTAAATGAATTTGTGTATTATTTATATTACTTATTTGTGACCCTGGACCACAAAACCAGTCATAAGGGTCAATTTTTCTGAAAGAAAGCTGAATAAATAAGCTTTCCATTGATGCATGGTTTGTTATGATAGCGCAATATTTGGCCGAGATACAACTATTTGAAAATCTGGAATCTGAGGGTGCAAAAAATCTAAATATTGAGGAAATCGCCTTTAACGTTGTCCAAATGAAGTTCTTAGCAATGCATATTACTAATCAAAAATTAAGTTTTATTATATTTACAGTAGGAAATTTACAAAATATCTTCATGGAACTTGATCTTTACTTAATATCCTAATGATTTTTGGCATAAAAGAAAAATCTATAGTTTTGACCCATACAATGTATTTTTGGCTATTGCTACAAATATACCCAAGCGACTTAAGACTGGTTTTGTGCTCCAGGGTCACATTTTTATTTAAATAAACTACATCTATTATGCACTTTATTAAACTTTATTTAAATAATAGCAGAAAAGATTTACTTAAAATTTAAATTGAAAACACAGTTGAAAACATAAAATGTTTACTATCCATCAACAAGGTTGTCAGTAGATTTTGGAAAGCCGGAAACCTCAAAATGGCCAAAAATCAGGTCAAAATATTGTATTAATCTATCATAAATTTTGAAGGGGTACATATCTTCAGCATGCAGGGAAATGCTTCTGGCCACCAGGGTTTTTGTCTGTATCTTCTCAGACCTGGAACTGATTTGACACATGTGCTGTCTGTTCGGTGATGAGGGTGACTGAATTACTGCAAAGAAGATCTAAGCACTGCCTAAAACCATTTGTTCGGTTTTTTAGTAGAGAAAAATGTTAAGTGGCAAAAGCATAGATGTTTGTTTGAATAAATTGAGACGTATTATCAAGATAAATCGCTGAGATTAGGGTGTATATGATTGACATGTCTCCTCTTTTGTAAGATCTGGCCAGGTCTTCATTTTTATTTCACCTCTGGAGGGTGTATAAATGCAGGGAGGTGAGTGATTCTTAGACTCTGAGACATGCAGGAAAGTTGATCGTGTACCAGCATGCTTTCATTTCTCAAGGAGAAGGTGTTGCTCTGTTGGTGGTTTGAAACCTATGAAAAATGTATTTTTACTTTTGGATATGTGGATGTGTTATGCAATCTGGTGTGTTAAGAGAAACACTTTTTTGAAATGGCGAAGCCATGGTGGGATGCAGAATAGGTTTTAAGGGTGCATCTGGATTTTAAGTCCTTAATGCCTCATAATGTAATGCTTGTAACCTGTTTTTAGTTAAGATGTAAATGCTTAATTTTTTACTAGATTAATACATTTTTTTTTAATTTTTATTTTACTTTTTTGATTTATCAGTTGATATTAGATATTTATTAGATATTTCCTCTATTTTTACACTTAGATTGGCATTTGTCGTAGTCTATAAAACTTAAGTTAATCTTTATAAACATTAATAATTTAATAATGTTTGTAAATGTAATTATTATCAAATCTGAAAAAAATAAAATCCATTTTTAATACTGCATATTATTGTTTTAATGTCTAAATTCACTTGTTTTTTAAAAAAATGAGATTTTTTAATTATTATTAATTTTAATATATCGGTTAAGCATTAACAATTAAATATCTAATATCAAATTATATATATAAAAAAATTAGATCAATCATTTTATATACTACAAGTGAATTTAGGCATCACAGCATTATAATGTAAAAAATGAAAAACTGGTATTCATTTTCAAATTTTAAGTGTAAAAATGTGAATGCTCATTTCCTATACTTTTACAATTAAGTATGTAATATAATTTCATATATTTTTTAGATGTTTTGATTGTTTTTGCCATCATCTAACACTCTTAACTTGAAGTTAATGTTTATAAACACTAATAATTAAAAAACACTTAAATGTAATATCCAGTTTTTATAATTCACATTACAATGTCGTAATGCCTAAATTTACTTGAAGCATTTAAAATTATTTATTTATTTGTGTGTGCGTGTGTGTGTGTGTGTGTGTGTGTGTTTTATTTTGAATACATTTAGACAAAATTGTATTTAATAGGATTTTAATATTTGGCTTTTATTGATTATTGGCCAAAATAAAAGTAATTATATACTTGTCAGTATTGGCCATAATCTGGGACATCCTTTTAATATGAAATAGGGCTGCACGATTATGACAAAAATCATAATTGTCGATTATTCCCTTGAAATTGTAATTGCGATTATTAATTACGATGATCACAATTTACATTGAATGATGTTTATACCATTGTTTGATGCAACTGCATGCCATATTTTTATATGAAAATAAACAAGCTGAAAACACTGTTTTCAAAACTGAAAAACCTTTAGTGCTTTTCAATAGTATTAATAGTATTAAGCCTTCAAATGTCAAATATACATCGGATTGGTTTCTTCTTTAAATTATAAAAAAAGTAAAAATATGAATGGTATTATAATGTTATACTAAAACTAAAACAATGGAAAAACCCTTAAGATAACATGTAGAAAGAAAAAAACGCGTCTTAAGCATGCAGAATAAAGTGGACTTTGAACGATTAATTGCTGCTTTGAACGATTCCGTAATTGTGGCATCCATAATTGTAATCACGATTAGAAATTCCCTAATATGAAATATCTTTAGCAGTAGCACAGCATGCTAATTAAAGCAGTGGCATGATTTTCATGTGTGGTGTCTCCTCAGTTGTGTGTCCTCTGCTGACCCTAGTAGTACACATCACAGCGAACACACATTCATGACGTCTTTCACAATTACACCAGGGGCCTGTACCATGATGGTAGATGAACAAATTCAGAGTTACAGGATTAGTTTTGAGTTGACAAAACCAAACCACTACAATCCGGCTTTGTTGGTACCATGATGCAACTTTCTTTGTTCGCTCAGGCTTTGATCCTGAGTTTGTGGAGCACGTGCACATGAATGTGTGACATCCCTGGCGAACAGCCAGTCATGAGCCTTGGTTAAAGGTTTTGCTAAAGGTTAAGAGATTGAAGAATAAGATTAATTTAAATGCATTTACAATGAAAAAAGTACTTGTTCATGAAAGAGGACAAATAAAAGAAATGATCTTGCTTTATCAGTGCAGTCACAAGTGAAACTTGTTAAATACAGCGATAGAGACACGAAGGTCACGTAGTCATTTTTAAAGCATTATCTATTGATTCTGCAGCTTTTTTATATTACATACGATCTGTATATATTAACAGTCATTTAAAATTAATTATTTATAATAACTGTTAAACTAAAATTGCTTGTGTGTAATGGATTAATAATAATATAAATCATATAATTACATAAATCATATAAAATAACTTAAACTTAGTAAT